TTTCTGTGTGAAGACCGACTTATGCACAACTAGCTGTCTGTTTAGTCAGAAAAAGACTGGGAATATACTTAGGTTCCAATTCACGCACTAACACCGACAAAAATTAGTCACAAAAGTTGGTAGAGAAAATACCTGTTATTTCAACACCCTGGTCTTATACAAGAGCTGTTTCAAAAGGCACTGTGGTGAATCCAGCAATTAAGAAGGGCATTAAATTCAGTTAACTATCTTCACACATTATGGGTAATGTTCTCAGTACTGCTTTTAAGTGTGTGGCTGTTGTCAGATAAACATGTCTGTTTAAAATCTACTTCTGTCCAGTTTCTGATGGGAATTGCAGAAAAAAATCCAAAATCTTAACTGTTAAGGCTTATTAAGTATATATTCATAAAATAGATGAAAATGAGTTTTGGACTGGATTACTTTCTTTTGGTGCTTTTCCTCTTTGAGCACTCGCTTTGGCATTGCACTAGAGTTCTTTAAATGTATTGTATACAGCAGCTGTCTGTCCTCACATGTTTTTAATAACTTTCTATAGACTAAACCAATGAATCGGTAAAATAAAAGGCCTCTTTGTTAGTGTACTATATCATTAATTGAGGTTTATGCACTTATGGTTTGGCAAGCAGAAAGTTTGAGTTCTCTGGCTGTTAAGAAATCAGAAGTTGACAAGAACAACTGACCCACTTGTCTGTCTTGAAAAAACTGGGATGCCTGCTCTCATGAAACAGAAATCCAAACAGTTTCAACTCCATTGACATTTAATTGTTAATGTGTGTGATGTCTGTTTCAAAGCTTCTTTGGCACTTCTTTGAAGGCAGTTATCCTGCTATCTGATCTATGTATTAGTCGTTTGGAGGTCAACAAAAATCTCCACTGGAGGATTTTACTCTCTGGCTGGAGGAGAAATACTGTTAAAGGTTGGTTATCGAGGCTAGCTCTGCTAAAAATAGCAGGAGAGACAGCAGAATAATAAAGTGAATAACAGGAGCCTGTACTAAAATAATGCTGGTAACAAACACAATGTTCTGAGGTTTTCTAAAATACAGCAGACTTTTGTCCCACATTCCAGTAATTTATTTGAAAGGCATGTTCCACTCGAGGATTGCCAAGAACTTTACAAATACTAAGCCTTTTAACATGTCTAAGGTATGTGCCGTGCCATTTTAAAAAAAACCTCATAGGCAAAAATGATAGCTATATTTTTCCAGAAGCTTGTGGTCTATAATAATACAGAAAGCTTTCCTTCAGTAGTTCAGAGAAGCTTCAGACTCTTCAGGTATGAAACCCTGTTCTGGCTTCCTATCTCAAATGAGTTTGTGAACTAAAAAAGTGTGTGTTTTGTTTTTATTTCCACTCTCCCCCTTCAAATCCGAATATAAGACTTCCACACTACAAATTTAATTGAAAGTTAAGTATCTTTAGATTTCGAGCTTATTATCATCTATGACAAGCTCTGCAATCTAATTCTGCTTTTTGGAGGTGTAAAAATTAGAGCTTATACAAATGTGAGGCACTGGTTCTCCTTAGACATGTACGATTTAAAGATGAAAATGACAAATGTAGGACAACAGAGCTAAAGAAAAAAGGTACCAGAATTATTAAGGAAGAAAGAACTACTTCAAGAAATACCTATAGCCTTTAATGTCAGAACTGTTTGAATGGAGAATGCCATTAACGGAACAAAAAAAATGAGCAGAATTGGACTGGAGTTTTAATACTGTAAAACATTGACATTGAAAAATAAAAATATAGTCGTGCTAGAAGAAAGGTGAAACACATGGCTTTGCCCTGAGCTGAAGGGAATAGATGTCAGCAAGATGCAGAGCCTCATAGTGGAAAGTTTTATGGAAGAAGACTGTCAACACCCTTGGGTGATGAGTTTGAATAAAAGCTTGTGGTACACCAACAGGTTTAGGAAAGAATAGGCACCAAATTTTTTGTTAGCTGGAAAAACTGGGAAGACTAGAAATCCAGAGGCTGCACAGGCTACACTGTTGAAGACTTTCACAGTTCCTTACTCTGTATATGCAAAAAAAAAAGTAGTCTTGTTAGTGTAGATTTTTGAAAAATGCCATAGGCTTATACATACCTGTTAAAAATTTCATGCCCCCTTTGATTTTAGCACACATGCAGTGATGTGTCTTCATGTTAAATGACCCATATAATACATTTTCCTGCTTTTGTGGAGGTTTGCAAAGGCTTTCAAATCACAAATGAACTTGAAACAACTCAGCATACGCTCCAGTAATCCAGTAAGAAGTCAAGTAAAGTACTTTGACTGTTGGTGGTGAGTATTGGTGAATACTGAAATTACCTACATAAACTACTAAAGTCTTAATTTCTTTGGCAGGCAAAAATCAATGATCAAAAGTAAACTGTACAATGATACCACATATTGTCAGTCCCTCCCCTGGTACTACAGCATAGGCTGGAGGACATCCAGCTGCCAAGTTGCTGCAGTCATAGCCTGCTCATAGTTGGACAGTTAAGACACCCAAGTCAGGGCAGAATCTTTCAGATTTTAGTTGTTAAAACTAAACTTCGCAATGTGCATAGGCAAATAGTATTTTTCATAGATAAAACGAATTTTAGCACATTTTCAGATGTCAACAGGAATGTCGGGCATGGGGCAGGGGAGATGCCAGATTTGAAGCTCCTGCTGCCAGGCTTGGGACCACTGGAATTGCTGGAACTTGCAAAGCACTTATCACAGATGAAACTTATTTTTACTTCATCTTATTTTTTCTAACAGCTGCATTATTTTGAAAAGAAAAATATGTTTATATATGCCTGTTTTAAACAGCTGCCTGGGCTTATAGAAATTGTCAGGCACTCCTAGGAGGATGGTCTTTAGTTCTGTGTTAATCTGTGATAAATGTTTAGTTGCTTAAACATGTACCAAGACAATTATTTTTCTGAAACAACTAAGGGAAAAAGTGTCTTTGCTCTTTGCCTTTAAGACAATGTTTCTACTGGAGATGCTGACAGTCTCGGTCCTGATGCTGAACAACTCTCTTCTCTTTGCTTAGCATTAGTCTGTATGATTTAAAAAACAATCTAAATCTCCACCCCCAGCTCCCTCAAACACCATTTATTTTGAAGAAGGCAGAACTGTCCAAGGCTCTTGAGTGTTGGGTCAATCACAATTCATTCTATACAGAAGAAATGTTATTGTCTATAATTCAGGAGTCTTCAAATGCTTAGAAAGCGTTACTACGCTATCAGAGATTTGGAACAATGTTTTTTTAAAACATTTTGCAATTTTAAACTTTCTGTGGTTTTTGTTTGTTTCTATTTTCCATAGACTCGAGATGATTTTCTTGGGCAAGTGGATATTCCTCTTTATCAGTTACCGGTTTGTATTTTTTGTTTGTTTGTTTTAAGACAGTGAATGGGAAAAATGATTCTGTATGCAACTGTATTAGTCATCTAAGGAAGTTAACCATACTGATAATATAAGTGATTAAATTCTCCTACTGTGTCGGGGTTTTTGTTTGGTGTTCTTTGTGGATTTGTTAGGGGTTTTTTAGTGCTGATACTTACAAAAAAATGTAGGTTACCTTGTGTTTAGATATTAGTTTCTGCTGCTACGAGTATTAGGAGTGCTTTTAGCTTTTTCAAGTATAATAATGCAAGGTTTGAAACAATCTTAAAGACAAGAGGAGATTATAATTATTGTCATATTTCTTAAAATATTTTCTTTAAAGTCTACAAATTTACTTGTAATATTCCTTATTCCCATAAACAGATACAGAAGAGGGTAAGTGGGAAATAGAGCTAGTGTTTCTTTGTACATTTGGGTTTCTTTTTTTTTTTTACTTTTTGTTTTTGTATCCCTTTCGCAAAGCACATTGTTAGTTTTAAAGAAATATCACCAAGAACACTGAGATAAGTAAGCCTTTTCATTTTCTTCTGAGGTCTCAAAACATTAGCAAATACTTACAGATTTATCAGCAACTGCTTTAAAGACAGGATAATAACCGTGGCAAAACCTTTCCAAGAGCAGTTGTTCTTTCATTCTGGTAAGAACCATGTCAGGAGTAGTTACAGATATGTGCCATTTCCCACTGTGCGTGGGATGCAAGATCACACTAACTCCTCTCCCTTAGTCAGGTGGGTTGGAAAGACTGGCTGTAATGTCCCTTTGGAGAAGACTGACTGTGTTTTCACTTCCCACTAATAAGCTGGAGAGCAATATTTGGAATCTTTTAGAGATACTGGTGCATTCCTTTCTTTTTTTTTTTCTTTTTTCTTTTTTTTTTTTTAGCATGAACTAATTTATAGAGCCTCATTTGAATATTTTCAAGGCTATTTTCTTCGTAGACTTTTCCCTGTCTCCTTTTTGTTTCCGTCTTCCTGGTTCCTTGTTCTTAATTACTTGGTCTTGCCATCTAAATCCATTGTACTTTATTAGCCCAAATATAGGTGGATTTTTTGGAAAGTCTTTCATTTACATAAGTAAATATATCTTATATATATAAGATATAAATAAAATCAGTTTATAAATTCTTTATTAGATGCAGTTTTGGTTTTTCTTGATACTATGCAAATGCAGACTGTTCATAACTAAAAAGAGCTGTTAATCAGGGACATGTAAAAAAGGCAAATCATCTGCAAGGTAAGGTAGTTGGCAGATATGAATTTGCTCTTTCCAAAACCAAATGTATTAATCCAAGCGTAATCTAGCATTGAATCTAAGACAACTCTTGTTTTTGGAAAGTCGGAAAAATAATGATGAAACTTAGATTAAGAAAGTATTTTTCTTTTTCTCTCCTCTGTTCTGTATTTCCACAGCGTCTTACTGCGTGTGTTAGTAGAAATAATGTAATGTTGGAGGAGGGACACGCCCCCGCCCTTCCCAAACCCCAAAACCAAAGCCCAAGCTTAATTCCATTTTAATTTCAAAGAAGTATTTACCTTAGTTGTAAGACAATTCATTTTTTAAGTATCGAAACTGATCTTGCAGATAACATCATGTAACACATATATCGTTACAGGACTGAAGATCTGCATTTTAATTCCATGAAGGTGGAACACTTCAACTTGAGTGTAGTATTTCTAAATTGTATTAACAAGAGCTTATACTGAAAAGTCTGAAATACAAGAGAGCATTTTTCTTTCCGAGATTCGGTGTGATAGTTATCACGTTCAGTAAAATTTAGTCAGCTTAATCTTAGGACTGTTTTGTAACAAAGCTTAACAGTTCCAAAGAAAATTCTAAAATCTGAAACTTAATAATGTCTAACCTTTAGATGCCAGGGCTTTTTTCGTTTGGTTGTTTCTTTCCAATCAAATGTGGACACACATTAGATGTTTTTTGAAAATACTATTATGGCATTAGTTCAGCCTTTGAGGATTGCAGCATGTACCGTTGTTCTTAATTAAAAGCCCTACAAATATAATAATTGCATGTTTTTCCTCATATTATACAGTACTTCTTGAAATGGTTAACATGTATTGATTAACGAGAGCCTAGAGTTACTCCCCAGAATTTGTAAAGAGCTGAAAAAGAAAAAAACAAAACAAAACTCAAAAAAGATTTACAAATGTTCCTAAACATATGATATTGTAAAAATCAAATATTTTTGTAAGAATTGCAGAACTTCAGATGGATTATAAATATTTATGTTAACCAGAAAAATAAATATCTTTTTGTTTTCTTCAATGATCTGTCATGTATATTTCTCTACCTGTACCTGGGATATATATTTATAAAATGATTTCTGTTTACCTCTGTGCTGCTTTCTCTTGAGCAACTTCACTTTTGTGAATCGGAACAGAGATGTTCTCAGAATGGATTCTTCTGTGATTATTTTTTATCCCCAAGTCCTAAAGCTAGAAATGGCTTTTTACGTATGTTCTGTGTAAAAATATTTGAAAAATACTGAGAGAGAAAAAAAAGAGTTATGGTAGATCTTTTAAATGTGAAAATTGAGAATCTGTTTCTTGATTTCAGGCTAAACAGTTTTTTTTCTGTGCTTTAGAAACTGTAATATATGTATATACTGAAAGGTAATTTTTTTTCCTTGAACCGGGGAATTAGTCTTATTACTAAGATTAAAGCTGGTATTGCTATTACTGTACCTAAACCTATAATTTAAATTTTAAAATGTTATATGGTCTTTAAAGAAACTCATTGTAAATTTCTGATAATTTTCTTTAACTTCAAGTGTTTGATACAGACTTTTCTTGAAAAAAATTGTCTTATTCCAGACAGAAAATCCAAATATGGAGAGACCATATACGTTTAAGGATTTTGTTCTTCATCCAAGAAGGTTAGTAAATACCACATAAAACCTCGTAACTTTCATATCTAAACAATGCTGTTATGTAATTACTTGTAAATATGTAAATATTGTCTAAATTTTTGTGTTTTCATCCAAGAAGTTTGAGCATCAATGGAGTAAGATATTTGTGGTCTACTAAAAAGTCAGCATTTGTTTAAATACTTACAGATTATTTGGTAAGAATAAACCATTTTTCTGCAGGCCATGTCATAATTCACATTATAACTTCATCTGAACAATTTACTGTTTCGCTGAACAGTGAAATTAGTGACCAATGTTATGCTGTAACTCAGTTATCCCTTTTCAACTTGACATTGTTTCCTGCCTTCCTGTCTCTCTTGTTTGCCTGTTTCATGTAAGCAGTTTCATGTGACCTTAATTATAAACATAACAAACTGAAAAGCTGCTTAACATTTAGGAAGGCCTGTGTTAAAAGAAAAAACCAAGGAATTTTTAAATGATAGGTAACACTTTGACACTTATATTAGTGTTATGCATTTAGTGTTTGTTTTTAAAATGTAGATTCTTAACCTAAATCTGAGCAGTTTTTAGCAACTTTTATTAGAAGTAAAATACATAAAATGCATGTCAATATTTTTGAGATAATAGGTTCCAATTTAAAAATAACACCAGAACACGTGGGATCTATAGATCTTTCTCAGCCACACTGATAGCAGAAGTATTTTTAAAGTATTTTATAGTATTAATTTTTATATATAATATATTATAATATTAATATAATTAATATAATTATATAAGTATTATAATAGTATTTATAATATATAGTATTAAGTATTTAAAGTATTTTTAAAGTATTTTATAGTACTTTTTAGCAGATCAAGGATTTTAACAGAGTTAGTGACTGTCAGGTTTCATTTTGATCTCCTATTTTTCAGAATTTAGTATTTCCTATCCTATAAATGAATGAAGAATAATATTTATTGTCTCTAAATAAATTAACTTCAATTGTTGTTTGTTAGTCAAGGATCTGACCTCTTCTTGTAGTGGCTAGCACATGAATTTGGCAATGCTTTGTAGTCAGAGATAGTGCCACAGGTTTGGACACTTTTCTGCCTTGAAATCTTATTGTAACTTTTAGATCCTTTAGTATTGTTAGTGCGCGTTCTTCAATTTTGCTCATATTTGCATTTACTTAGACAGGAATATTAATAATAAGGTTACTACCTTCCCAATACCTCAAGCTGAGTAAGAATTATTAACATGTTAATACTCTGAAATGAATTACTTTATTGTATTGGCAAGTAAGATAGTAGATTACTTCCTCTTTCAAAGGGATGTGGGCTTTTCTGAAGCCAAAATACCATCTGAATGAACATGTTTATAATCTAGCATGAAATGTCTTTCCAGATATCGGAAAATCTAATTCACTTTTTCTGCATGGCAAAAAAAAAAAAAAGCAAACCATTAAACCTTAGTGATGTGTTGTTTTTTTGGTTTTGTTTTTTTTTCTTTACTTTAGTAAGATGATGTGCAGGTATCCAGTTGACTCACTAGTGATATTTTCAGGACTCTTATTTTCCTTTTTTTACACCAGTAGTCAACCAGATGAGATAATTTGGCAGATTGTGAAAATATTAAATAAAAGTGAAAAAATTAAAACGTGTAAATATTAAATAAAATCAATATGGGGAAGTCCTATTTTCAGGCTTCTAATGATGCATTAATCTGAATACAGAGATGCAAATGCTGAAGTATGAAAGCTTGCTGTAACTTAAGTTTTAGGAAAAGTAGTCCTGTAGATTGAAATAATGCTTGATGAATTGTCTGCACACAGTCAAATTATTTTATATATATAATATTTGAGTCGGAAAGAAAGGTTTCCAATTGTGGTACATAATATCAGCGTGTATTCAGAAGTCTAAGAACTCAATACCATTATAGAACTTCATTAATTTAAACTATAAAAAGCCAAGTTTGTGTTGAGAAACTTCAGAATAATCTTCTAGCTGTGCTTTTTCAGCTATTTTATTTCCAGGTAATAATTTCACAAGTGAACATTTGTATTTTCTCTTCTGCAGCCATAAATCAAGAGTTAAAGGCCACCTTAGATTAAAAATGACTTACTTACCTAAAAGCAATGGGTCTGAAGAAGAAACCACAGAACAGGCTGAAGAATTAGAGGTGGGAAAAGATGTATTTATTGCTGAAAAACCTAGCAAATGTCTTCAGCTATTAAGTGTAGTTACAGTCAAAATGAATGTTAGGAATCACTAAGCTATAAATAGTGTTTTAGAAACAAACCAGTTAAAAGCGATTGCTTGTATCTTACATAAAAGTTGTAAGTCTGCATGAAAATTCTGCAACAGTTTTTCTAACTAAAGGAGTGGCTTTGTCAGTATATCTAAAAAGGAATACCTACATTAGGCTTTTGGTTTTGGTCTGGTACTGATTTGCCATATGTCTATGTAACTCTTTCTTTTAGAATTAATGGAAGTATCGTTGCCCAGTATTTTTACTGCTGTTTAACGTTGTTTGACCCCAGCCAGTCAGACACTGACATCTTGCTGGTTTTAGAATTTCAACTCTCTCCAATTTGTAGGGATATTTTGATCTTAATTATTTACCTTTGTAGTCTTTTGTAAGCACATCCAATCTAAATCAATGGATTTCTTTTAAAGACTTAAACAACTCTAATCAGCATTACCACCCTTGCTTTAATGAAACTTTGTTACAAAATGGTATGCTCATCTGACTAGTACGTTTGCAGCATATGTATGAAATGAAGTTTATTTACTTTTTTTAATCTGTCCGATGAATGCTGTTTATTTTCCTGGAATAAACAACTTTTGATGCTAATATGTTCAAGGAACTTGAGTTAAAAATAAGATATCTGCGTGCATAATTTGTCCCATCATTTCTTGAGAAATATACTCAATAAAACCCAGAGCCAATCTTACTGGTTTAAGATGTAGTGGCACTGCACCTTAAAAGGAGGGTGGTTTAGTAAATTGAGATACTTTTTCAAATTTGGTAATAATAAAGGCAGTTAATATTGTATCTCTTAGCCTGGGTGGATTATATTGGACCAACCAGATGCTGCTAGCCAGCCACAACATTCTCCTCCACTGCCTCCAGGCTGGGAAGAAAGGCAAGACATCCTCGGCAGGACCTACTATGTCAATCATGAATTCAGAAGAACACAGTGGAAAAGACCAACTGCTCAGTATGTCTTTTGGCCTGAAAATTCAAGTCTTAACATTGACTAGTGTAACTAGTTCACTCTAGTTATGTTGAAAGCAAGGAGAACTAGAAAGCGAATAGCTTGAGAATTAGTAGAGAGCTTTCCATAGCTTAACCTTCAAGCCCACGTGTAATGGTCACTGGCTAGTGGCCATTTTAACTGCACAGTACTCTTCCTGTTCTCTGGAAGTATGCATTCACATAGAAATTGGTGCAATTTTAAGAGATAGTAACTATAGTAATGGAAAGGAAATTGTTTTCCAGCTGTAAGCCTGATTCCTCCTTCCCAGCAGGGACTGCATTAAATTATTTACCTTGTTTTTTTCAATTTATTTTTTTTTCCCCTTAGCATGTGAATTACAAAAATAATACCTGGAATGCTATCTGGTTCTTTAGTTTAACTTACTGTTCACGTTGACATGAATGCTTATTCTTTTTAAAAAGTTTACATTAATTTTTATAGCTCGTGACTGTTTCTTTTTCTTCTGCCAAAATGACTATAGTGTATGTTTTTGCTGTTAGCCTAGCTTACTGTTGAAAGATAAAATATGACTACTGTATGCTGACTTCTTCCCCACACCCCTCCAATAGGGACAACATAGCTGTTGCAGATGTTGGTAGTGTGCAGTTGGAGGCCCAGCATGTGTTCACTCATCGGCGACAGATATCAGAGGATACAGAAAATCTAGACAGCAGAGATTCCCCCGAGGTAAAAACAATTTCTAAATGTTTCTGAAATGCAAGTAACTTTTTTAATCTAGTCAAAAAGCTTGTCTTAACTATTCGTAACTTGGAATTACTTTTTAAAATTTCTTTTTCTTTATTTTCTTTTTAAAGAGCTGGGAAATTATAACTGAAGACGAGGCAACAATGTATAGCAATCAGAACCTTCAAATACCTCTCTCTCAGAGTAATTGTGATATACAGACTCATCTTGCAGAAGAACTGAATACCAGACTTACTACCTCTGGAAGTTCAGCTACTGGACAGTTATCAGCTACTGGCCAGTTATCAGCCTACACCGTAAATTATTTTTCTCATTGTTCTAATGTACAGAAATATCTATAATATTTTGCACAAAACGTTACTGCTGATAGAATAAGATCCATACTAACAATTATACCTTTAATTTCATCTCAAATGCAGAGAATTTAAGAGTAATCTTTTTACTATAGAACCCCATCTAAGCAAACATGTTATTCTCCCCCGCTTTTGCTCATATGAATTTCTGCCTGAGATTAAAACAGACTTGCATGAACTATTTTTCAGTGTAAATCTGCCTCTTATTCTAGTGTCATACAGAGTGCTGCTGAAAATTACAGATGAAGGAAGCTGTCTATATCCTGAAAGCTTATTTCTAAGGGAGTTGTGCTGTATTGGTTACTTTTCCCACTAGGACGAGTTTAAGATAACTCATTTTTCATTGTGAATATTGGGATAAGGTTTTATGATTGGGCTGAGTAAACCTGGTGACTCCGTAGCAGTGAAAAAGAGACCTTGCTCATACAGTTCCATAGCCCTCGCACCAGTTACGAAACTTATCCATCCTCTCAGTGAGTCTGTTCAGCTTGCTAACCCAGCAGAAAACTATGTTCTTTTTCCCCCAACTCTGTTTTTTTTGCAGTTTTAGCAAGCTGAAACAGCATGCTTGGTTGTCTGACAAATACTACGGTGGCAAAGGGGAAGCAGCAGGAGTACATAGCCAGGAGTGAGGCTTGTCTTTTTGGTGGTAGCAAACAATTAAATAAGCTCAGCTGTATTGTGAAACCCGAGCTCCACAAATGGCCTTGTAACCTATGTGACTTGAGAAATCCATTGTCCATTGAGGAAGGCCTATAAAGGTGACCCAGACCATGTAGTCTGTAAGATTTTTTTGGTATCTAAATAAAATCATTAGCTTTTGTGATGCTGAGAATGCTATTCCAAATGTAAATTTGGAATTGACTATGTCTTTCTAAGTTTGTACGAAGGCATCACTAGTGTTGCTGGAAACAGCAAAGTGAGAGTAACAAGACTTTATTTGACCTCTGCTATTCAGAATCCTATGGATAGCAAGAAAACTGTTACTTCAGCTTGCTTGGGTGGCCTAAGCAAAGGAAAAGTCAGATATTCAAATTATTTGCAAGAGCCAGCTAGAATGACAGTCTTGCCTCCCTTCACCTCCATCACCCCCCAAAAAATAAATTTAAAAAACTTAATCATGCTTTGAAGTATTCTAAAAGGGTACATAGATAGGGAAAAGTCCTTCAAATAATCGGGGAAATTCTGGAGCAAGATGAAGTACAGTTGCTTAATTGGAGCAGGTGAGATCTAAATAAGGCTCTAGGCAGAAAGGTGGATGCTTATCCAAAGTCCAGGGATTGAATTACTCATCTCAAACTGGATGTCTCAGACTCTCGTATCTTTTTATTATTAACTTAATCTACTCTCTGAAAAGTTGTGTTAGCTCTGATATATCCCAGGCTTTAGTCTACTGACAAAATAACTCAGTAAGTTCTATACTGTAAATTCAATTGTAATGTAACTGGTTGCAACTAACTCTAGTATTTTACATGCCAAAACATCCATCGTTAGGGTTTTCAGAACTTTCACAACCTTTGTATTATTCTGTTCCAAGGTTATAATAGCCACTGTGAACTTAATGTTTCTAGCAGTGTGAAAGCAGTAGTTTCAAAGATATTATATTAAATTGATGTTTCAAAACAAATAAGACACTTTGTTCAAGATGAAAACTGTAATAAAGTGTGATAACCATTGTTGACTGTTCACTGCCATCCTTAAAGCTGCAATAATAGCTAATAATGTCATTCCTCTTCACTACTTCAAGAGCCATTCCAGCAGAAGAGGTAGTCTGCAAACATACAGAGTTGAAGAGCAGCCTGCACATCCAGTGGTACGTCATTTTCCAAAAAACACAGGCTTGTGTAGCAGAGAAGCTGAAGGATTTTCTTCTAAAAAACTTTTTTAACTATGTATTATGTGCTGACATTTTAAGTGAGATTTGGCCTTCTGCTTCTGGCAGCTGACCTGGCAAAATTGCTATTATGAGTCTAGCAAGATTGGAGTTCAGTTTTAAAGCTTTCATGTTCCAACTTTGTGTTTTTGGTTTAACATTAGCTTAATGCCGGGATAGAGCCTGCAGAAGGAAGCAGTCTTCCTGTGAAGATATGAGTTTTGTTTTTCAAATTGTTTGCTTTATAATTAAAAGCCGTACCACCATCCTTTTCACTGTTTTCATGGTGATACTGCAAACTATGAGCTCATAGCCAGAAGTACTAGGCTGGATCAGCCATGCCTAAACCAGGTATATAAAGGAATCCTTTTAGATGAGGAGCTTGAATTTTTTTTAAAAAAAAAAAAAAAAAAAAAAGTTCTGTCACTTCATACTATTCAGTAAGGACTTAAATACTGCTTTTCTATTTCATCCAGTTTGCGAAAATCATGAACCTTCTGGATTATAGTTTTGTTTTAATTTGACAGAGGAAAGCTTTTTCACAGTGAGTTTCATAGCTTTCTTAACTGTTTTTCTTCTGTTATCACTAATATTTAGTTACTGCCTACTTCATCTGGATTACCACCAGGCTGGGAAGAACGTCAAGATGAAAAAGGGAGGTCATATTATATAGATCACAATTCTAGAACCACTACCTGGATTAAGCCAGTCGTACAGGTACTGTCTGTCTTTTAATTATGAATGTTTTTATTCATTTAACCTTTTAAACATCTCACATAATAAAAGTAAATTTTAGAGACCTCTTGAAATAGAACATGTGAAAGGCATAAACTGGTAAAGCACTACATAAAATATCTGAGAGAATGCAGAGTTAGGAACAGTAGTATTTATGGCAAGTTACTCTACTGTACCAAGAAAGCCTTCTGGAGAGTGATAGCTGATTGAGAAGCCTGAAAGACTTCTTTTAACTTTGGTAGCGTAATCGGTGATTGTTAGTCAATGTTGTTGATATTAGACTAAACAAATCTATGTACTGTCTGGCACTTGCTTTATGAAACTGCTTTCATGAGTCAAAAATATATGGTAATGGGAAAAATATATTGCTCTACAGGGCTTTGATTTTTATTTTTTTTTTGGTCATTTACCATAGATTGCTGTGGAAACAGGTCAGTTGTCAGCTGCGCAAAGTACTTCTATAGGAAGACAACCACAAGCAACATCAAGTGATTCATCACAACAGTCTCCTCAGCAGCAGCCTGAAATGGAGCAAGGATTTCTCCCTAAAGGCTGGGAGGTCCGACATGCACCCAATGGCAGACCATTCTTTATTGACCACAACACCAAAACTACAACATGGGTAATGGAAAACTGCTCTCATGGACTGAAATTGTAGTTCCCCTCAAGTCAAAGCTTTGCTGCTTTCAGTGAGCTTCTGTAGATTTCTTTAGTGCCAAGATAGCTGTGTCATGTCTGTTAAGGAGCATATGTAATAAAAATGCAAAGTCATTTAAAATGTCTGTTATGAGTAGAACATTATGAATTTTACAAACTGTGTTGGTACTTGAAAGTTTAGCTTGGGAAGAGGAAAATACTGATGTATATAGGAATCTGTTTCACAGATGTAAAGCATCTCCTAAATAACGCTTCTGTAATAACTGTAAAACTGTGATAGCTTATATGTGCTGTTAACAGAAATCAGTTTTGTAAACTTACCTTCAACAGGAAATCCATAACCTTGAATTTGTCACGTGGTACAGTGCACAACACAAGTTTCTGAATTCTTAAGAAAGCAGGTCAGGTGCACCTACAATATGGGAGTTGTACAGCTACAGTTCCACAGAGTGGCACTGCGTACCACTAGGCAGTACTAATAGATGGACTTAAAGCATTTAAACAGTAGGTCAGTATTACTGTCAGGTGAAGGAGAAACAGAGAAATGCATTAAATTGATTCAAAATTAATATTCATTTCTTCAGGATTATGGAAAGACCTTATTTAACACAAGCACCTTCCCCCTACCCCCCAAAAAAGCCCAAAGCAACTAACCAGCCAAACAACAAAAAAACCCAAACACCAAAGCCTAAAAGCATAAGGTGTGCCAGAAACCATGTGGAAAGATTAATTTGACTCAATTACACTAAAACTGAGTTGAATGAGGGATTTTTTTTTTATATATATATATATATAAACTAAAGCGAGAGGTCATTAGAAGATGATAGTAAACTACTGGAGGACTGAGAATCAGCAAGGAACTACCTGGTTGCAGAATATGCAACAATTATCTAGTTGGTACTAGGCATATTCTTTACACAAGCATTAATAAAGAGGAAAAAATTAAAAGTAAACCAAAACAGCAAAAGGATTTTAACATGCTGCTTGCTTTGGTTTCAAAGGAAGATCCAAGACTGAAAATTTCTGCTCATCCGAGGAGAAAAACTTCCTTAGATCCAGTAGACCTGGGCCCATTACCAGTAAGTAAACTGTTTTATACTTGGTTTGGAATTTAAATACTTACATTAGCACTATCAAAACTTGCACATGAGAAAATGCAGCCTGCTTTTTTCATACAAAAAATACTCTGTTTTGAATTCCAATGCTGAGAGTAGATGGGGGGAGGGGGGGAATGCCCCCAACTGCAGATAGTGTTGAGTTCTATGCAAACTACATGGTCAGAAATCTATAATAAAAGTGTCGTCTTCTTACAGCCGGGGTGGGAAGAGAGAACTCACACAGATGGAAGAATATTCTTCATAAACCACAGTATGTACAATGTAGTATTCTCCCCACACTCATCGTTTAATTTCTGAACGTTATCTAAATTAATGGAACTAATTAAGAAATGTCTTGCAGATACAAAGAGAACACAATGGGAGGATCCTCGACTGCAGAATGTGGCAATAACTGGACCAGTAAGCTTTCCTTATGTAACTTTACATGCTTTTCAAGAATATTGTTAATAGAATCCAAACAAACTCTTGTCCTTTATGAGGTACTCAGTCTAGAAGATGAAACTTCCAGGGTATTTGAACAAGGCATTTTTATTTCTTTTTAAAGCCTGTTTAGAAAGCTTTCTGTGGAAATGGTCTTTTAAATGCCAGAAAGAAAAATCAGTTTCCATAGTAGTTAGAAAGTTTCCTTATAGACTGAGGGGGTTTTGAAGTGGATAAGAAACTTTATTTTTTATCCACAGTGTCGAAAATAAAACTAGCTCAATTCATGAAGTAAACTTGAAGGGAAAAAAAAAAAAAAGGCAAATGGCTTTAAAAGGAATGCAATTCACTTGCAACTGAAAAATAATTATCTAGCCTTGATATTTAATCTGAAGTGCAAAATTACCAGGACTAATTGCAAAGACGGTACACATTATAATTATAGATGGGTTTTAGTGTTCAGCTGATATCTGTGTTTATTAATAGCCCACATATGTAAACAACCTTCTCTGTCCATGGAAAATAGAGGTGTTTGTAGCCAGGTCTCTCATGATACAGCAAGGGAAGACTATGCGTTATGTAAGTCACCAAAGGCATTTTGGTCACTTTGATCCGGGCCAGTCAGTGAGCTTAGTCAGTCACATCAGCTAATAGTAAAGTACAGGATAAATTCTATGGAACTGATCAGAACAAATGATCTGAACAAAGATGTATTTTCATTCCAGATGTTTTGAACTCTTCATATATTTATAAATGGAAAGTCTTCCCTGATGCTTAGTAAAGCATGTATTCCTGTTTTCTCAGAACTTAAATGCATTGTCTGTTTCACAAATATAGACTAGTTTATATTACATTAATTGTTAAGAGTATCTCAAGCACTTTTTTTTTTTTTTTTTTTTTTTTTTTTTAAAGGCTGTGCCTTACTCCAGGGACTACAAGCGGAAGTATGAGTTCTTCAGAAAGAAATTGAAGAAACAGGTTAGTAATCACTAGGAATCCAGCAGAAAGTTAAGAAACTTATACCTCTAAACAAAGGAAATCTTAGGTTACAGTGGAAGGAAATAGAACTTTGTAACCTGCTTAGGGAAAGTAGATTTACTGTCTGATCACAAATACATTTGTGAAGCAACGACTTGGTAACAATTAGCATTTAATCTAACCAGTAGGGTTTGTGACTTTATGCAGCAATGAGACTGCAAGCAGTCTAATTGAAAAAGTAGAAATTCTAAAAGGTTAAAAAATTTGTGAATCTGGAAGTAGGCTGACAACAGAAAAGTTTGGAAATCACTGATCTTACATAAAATAGTTTTTGGAACTCAGAATATGGTGGAAATAGAAGTTCTCAGAATCAGTTCTAGGCTGTTCAGATAAAAAAAAATCTGTACTGTTGTCTTGATCAGGCTAGATGACTGTAATAAATTGTTATAGCCTTAAAATATTAAGTTTATGAATCTCATTTGCAAGTTCTAGTTTGAAGTGGCAGTGCCAGATATATTTATAACGCATGAATAAAAGACTGTAAATAGCATCTGGATATCCAGATAACAATGAGTCTTTGCACAACTGCAATCAAATTTGGTATCCTTGGGAGATATTTTATATATGTAATAATAGCCTTTGAGTTTAGACCCATATTTCACCTTTTATCTACCAACTCTGTCTCTAGCCTTTCTGAAGCCTATGCATTTTGAGCTGATGTGTAAATTGCACACAATTGTATATGCACCTCATTTTTTGTGTTCCTAGTCAAACAAGCTTGGCATTCATTCAAATGTCATTATGCTAATCTGTGAAGTGATAGACAGCTCAGCCACACAATATAATCGTAGTAATTTAAGAATTAAATGCACATGTAGATTTTAAAGCATACGTTACTATTGCCTTTTAAGCATTCACAAATACAAATAAATGACAATTAGGGTAATGAATTGATTTATATTGAGATTTAATTATTGGATACTATTTTAATCAGCTAAGTTTGGTTTTAGTAATTGATTTTATTATTGCTTGAACATTTTTCTGAAAAATTGATTTGCAACTAAAACCAGGAATTTTTTTTAATGTTTTTTTTTTAATTTAGGGATATTTACTGCTTTCTGAAATGATGAAAAAGACCTATATATTTCAGCCACCATGTAAATTAGAGATATAATATTGTACAGTATTTTGCAACTTGGAAAATGACAAATAATGTGCTCCCCAACCCCAAGTAACTATTTTTTGTTTGTAGTTTGGATCAAGCTGTTGTTGGATATAAATAGGCATTACATTAAAATGCAGCATTCTTTTTTTTTTTTTTTTTTTTTTTATTTGGGACATTTAGGATAGATTATTTAAGGGGTATAAGAAAATAAAAAGGAAACATGTCTGAACATGTGCTCTTCAGATTGATTTATTAAATATTTCTGCATTCAAAAATTCATTATTTCTACTCAGTATGTGACTGGTTCTTTGAAATTTGAAATATATTGAGTTTCATTGCATCATCCTAATCTAGTAATAGACGGACACGAGTTGAAATTTCCTGTTCCTACTTTCTCTGAATTTTTCAATTTTGCCTGACGCAATTGCTGAAATAAACTGCCTGAAAACAAGTGAAATCAGGAAAATACTCTATTCTCATATAGTGATTTAATGATTCAGCCAAGTTTTATTCCTGGTTTATTAGGGACTTAGTCTGAAAGCTCAGCAGCAAATATGAGCTCCTTGGATATTTTTATTTAAATATTTTCCTATATGATAGTAAACATAAACCTCATGATTTGTTCCTGTGACTTCAAATTTTAAATGAACTGATTTTTATTTTAATATTGTAGGAATACTTGTTTGTCATGTATGTCTTAAGACACCTAGCCTTATAGTTAGAATATTGAACTAGAAGGTGAAATAAGTCAGGTAAAATTGTTCCAAAATAATTTTATTTATAAACTGAGCTTTTTTTTTTTTAATCAAGCTTATAATATGATGAATTTTCAGTGTTAAAAAAAATGCCATGCCTTGCTTCATACAGAACAGCTGACCATATGCTGTTACTAATAAGAACTTATTTTAACCCTGTTTTCTTGGTATGAAATAGAACTTAGTATCTGAAACTCTCCGTGCTAGTTGAATTGTATGTAAATAGAGCCTCTTGTCAATCATATGGTTCCAAATTATTAAAGAAAAGGATTTGTGTGCCATTCGTTGTCTGTTTACAGAATTTGCGTACTCTGTAAGGCTAAAAGATGCTGCCTTTTGTTCTATTATTCTATGTTTTTATATTGCCTTTTTTTTTTTAGAGTGATATTCCAAATAGATTTGAAATGAAAATTCATCGCACAACAATCCTTGAAGATTCTTATAGAAGAATTATAGCTGTAAAGAGAGCAGATTTCCTTAAAGCAAGACTTTGGATTGAATTTGATGGTGAAAAAGGTTTAGACTATGGAGGAGTGGCCAGGGAATGGTTCTTCCTTCTCTCTAAAGAAATGTTTAATCCTTACTATGGATTGTTCGAATATTCAGCTACGTAAGTAATACAGGTTGGGAAGACATGAAAACTAGTTAGAGAAAGCAGATCAATTGTATTTCTCATACCTATTTTAAGAATGGAGTTACCCCCTTCGCCCCAGCTGTATAGGAGGGTTTAGTTGTTAATAACTGCAATATTCTGCACCTAGTTCTTTGTTTGACAGAAGAATAATGTGGAGACAGTACCTGTATTTTTTTTTTTCAGCAGCCTAACATAAGCCATGTCATCTTTGCATAGACAAGCGTATGTTTGCAACCATCTACTACTTACAGAAGAGGCAGTATTTAACAACTAATGCGGAGAATGTTATTCTGATTACTTTAAAATTAATAGGAGTTAGGCCCTTCCCTTTGGTATATCTCTAACTTACAAAGGTAGTTCATGGTATTTCAAAACTTATTTCTGCTATGCTAATAGAATCTTCTATTGAGTATTGTTTAATATTAGGTTAGTGATTTATTAATCCAAATATGATTATTTTTTCAACTTCCTGAAAAGTAATACCTGATTTAACCAGTGATGTCTTTCAGATCTTCAAGTGTGGGACTGTTCCAACAGTACAACATCTTGTTTTTTCTTTCTCTTCCCTGCTCCCTCCCTCAACTTCAGAGATAACTATACTCTGCAGATCAATCCAAACTCTGGACTTTGCAATGAAGATCATCTCTCTTATTTCAAGTTCATAGGTCGTGTAGCTGGAATGGCTGTTTACCATGGCAAACTTTTGGATGGTTAGTATTTATTTTATGTAATATGATATTTAGATTAACATTCTACATATTTTGAATTTTAAGTTACATATTGTTCAATTTATTTGTTCTTCTTTAAAGCCTTTTTTATTCGTCCTTTTTACAAGATGATGCTCCAAAAACCAATAACGCTTCATGATATGGAGTCTGTGGTATGTAATTTGCTTTATCATGTATCATATTAATTTTTTTTAATATACCTTTAATGACATTGTGAAGGTTGAAAGTGCATGATTCAAAGAAATTTTAGGCTACTCTTTTATAAGTCTGTATGCTGTATAGGAATTAATACTTCCAATGAAAATCAGAGACACCTAGACTCTGGTTTAAGTCAGTTAAGCTGTCTTGAAAACTTGACTCTAAAGTTTCTATAATGTTTTCTTAAAATATTTTTAGACACTAAGGTTCTTAAATATAATCATCTTTGGGATCCCTGTCTCAACCTGTTTTTTAAATTAGTTTGTGTCTTTTGATTATTAAAAGGAAACGTATTCTTATACTTTCATAGACTGACAATCTTAATGAGTGATACAATGTAACATTTTTAGAGGAAAACCTGGTCCTTACAATTGTCTTGTTTGTTTGTTACCCTGATAATGGTTCTTATCTAGAGTAGTTATGGGCAGAGTGATTTTTATTCAATCTCTAATCTATTACTGGCTTTGCTGTCCTATAAGAATACAGAATATAGTTCCTATCTGTTCCTGAGTAAAAGATTAATAGAAGCATCCCGATTTCCCGCTCTCCTGCCCCATACTATAGAATCATAGAATGGTTTGGGTTGGAAGGGACCTTAAAGATCACATAGTTCCACTTCCCCTTGCCATGGGCAGGGATACCTTCCACTAGATTAGGTTGCTCAAAGCCTCATCCAACCTGGCTTTGAACACTTCCAGGGAAGGGGCATCCACAACATATCTGGGCAACCTGTTCCAGTGTCTCACCACCCTCACAGTAAAGAATTTTTTCCTAATACCTAATCTAAATCTACCCTCTTTCAGTTTAAAACCCTTACCCTTCATCCTATCACTACACTCCCTGATAAAGAGTCCCTCCCCGTCTTTCCTCTAGGCCCACTTTAAGTACTGGAAGGCTGCTATAAGGTTTCTCTAGAGCTTTGCCTTCTCCAGACTAAACAACCCCAGCTCCCTCAGCCTGTCCTCATAGGGGAGGTGCTCCAGCCCACAGTCATCTTTGTGGCCCTCCTCTGGACCTGCTCGAGCAGGTCCATGTCTTTCTTATGCTGGGGACCCCAGAGCTGAACACAGTACTCCAGGTGGGGTCTCACGAGAGTGGAGTAGGGGGGGAGAATCACTTCCCTCAACCTGCTGGCCACACTTCTTTTGATGCAGCCCAGGGTGCGACTGGCAGTATCTTGATTTTCATTTCCTAAGGCTCTTTGTAGTAATGCCTAACAGTAAAGGGACGATAAATACAGGATGAGAGACCGAGAAGAGTCCAAAATACATTACTTCAGATAATGCTGTGACATCTTATAACCATTTTGCTGTGTGAGAGATTTTTAGTCCTGAGATTGCTGAGTCTTCAGGTTTCAAACGTCTTTAAAGGTCTTTGTCGCTTTGCACAATTGCAGAGTCTCTGTATCCAGTACAGGATTGTCCTAGGTAGCAGTATTCACTGGGCTGCAATGAAGCCTCTTGTAGCTTAAAAGGTGGCTACTCTATTTTGTATTTACTATTTTGTAATTCTGTTTCTCTCAGGATAGTGAATATTACAATTCTCTGAGATGGATTCTTGAAAATGATCCAACAGAACTGGACCTCAGATTTATAGTTGATGAAGAACTTTTTGGTCAGGTTAGTATGTTCATGTACATTTGACCTGTGAAATTAGCTGATTTTATCTCTATGGTATTAAGAAAAACCCTTCATTCACAGTCGTGTTGGTTTGTTCACTCAGCTGCTTCTTTTAGCTGGCACATGCTCATGGCAGTGCTCTGTTAGCCTGGCTGTGATGTGATAAAGGACTTGGAAATAAGCAGAGCTTTAAAAAATAGCTCGTGCTTTTTTCTTAAATAATATTTGTGTGAAATGTAGCTGTTGCTGTGAATGCAACTGAGACTAAGATATCCATATTCTCATTACTTAATCTGAAGCAGAGGTTGGTTTTATGTGATTGGCTGGAAAGGATGAGCTCTTTTGGAAATGGCTGGAATCATAAATTTCACTGGGAGATAATAGAGGGTTTTTTTTTTTCTCTAAAATGTACTAGAAAGCTATGGAATAAACAAATTTGTTGTTGTGTAGAAAGCTATCCAAGATAAGCCATGTAAAAATACCAAATTACAGGTGCCAACTAAATCTAAGTAGGATAATAGCCTTTGTGGTCTTGTGTAACTAAAGTGATCCTAAGTAGGCGTGTGAAAAAGTACATCCGTAATGAACTGAAAATCAGATATTTGTCTACTGAGGTTTTAGTAATATAAATCATTATGTAACAGATATGTATACTGATTCACTTATTTACTGGGACCATTGCTGAAATTGTTCTGTAAGTGTTTTTCCTTGAGATTTGGAAAAAAGGCTGGGTCATATAACTGCAGAATATGCAGTTAGTGAAGTCCACGTTACTGAGAACTTGTGTGCAAGCTTAGGTGGTTTATTGTACCAGGTCAGGAAAAATGGAGGTTGCTCCATTGCAGTCTGGCATCCCTGAATAATACATTTTTTAAAACAATCAACCAAATTCTATTTATTCAGGTGACCTGTGAAACTGGTCCGATTTCTCATAGTTTCAAATTCTGCAGTCTTCAAGAGTTAACTAAATTACCTGATGTTGCCATACGAATTCTGTTGCGTACGTATCTCATTTAAGACCTATTCTATATATTGCATTTAGACCCATCAGCATGAACTGAAAAGTGGTGGATCAGAAATAGTTGTCACCAACAAGAACAAGAGAGACTACATTCAGTAAGTAGTGGTCACTGTATGCAATGTATCTCACTGGATTGCCCCCCTAGTAATAGGGGATGCGTGTTAGTTGTATTAACAAAAGGAAGTTGTTGCTTTGTATATAAATTGCTTTTATTTTAAATGTTTTGGTTTTTTTTTTTTTACAGTCTTGTAATTCAGTGGAGATTTGTGAGCAGAGTACAGAAACAAATGGCAGCCTTTAAAGAGGTATAGTTTTAATTACAAAAATAATTCTTCTAAGAATTTGTTGCATCTAATTTTTAAGACAAGCTTTTTTGGACATCCTGAAGACCCACAGATAATGTTGCTAGAGGTATAAAAAAGGCAGTGATACTGTTCGTAGTGTCAGCTTTGAATTATTTCAGACTTCAAAATCTTTTTGGTATATTTTTACTGAGCTGTTTAATTCATATTGAAAAATTTGCTTATTTCTCAAACCTGGCTGACAGTCTTAGCTGTAGTGCAAACTATTTAATGAACTCTGCAGAAATTAAAATTAAATCAAACTAATAGAATTAAATTAAACTAGCTGGTTTATCCTTATTTGTATAAATGATATTACATATATGATACTCAGACTTGTATATTCACCATTCAGTGTAGCACAATAGAGATGTGAGATAAGTCAGAATTAAAAGTACTATAGCCAAACTGGGGACTGCTGGTGTCCAAACATCTGTATTTGATGTATTGCTTTGGCTCTATTTACTAAAGCATCTAAAAAATGCTTAAATAATGTTGACTTGATTTTTATAAAATTCCCTCATCTTTTTAGGGCTTTTTTGAACTAATACCACAGGATCTGATTAAAATTTTTGATGAAAATGAGTTAGAGGTAAGTGTATCATGGAAAAGAAGACAAACTATGTTGAAGCTTAATGTTACTGATTTAAACTTTGGCGCTTTTTTTTTATCTGTGTAGTTATTAATGTGTGGACTGGGAGATGTGGATGTGGCTGATTGGAAACTACATACAAAATACAAAAATGGCTACAACATAAACCATCAAGTAATACAGTGGTTCTGGAAGGTATCGTGAAGTTCTACTATTTCTTACCTTAAAAGCTGCTGCCTTTCAGCTATGCTAGTTTATAGTGTGATTCATCAATAGGTAGGTAAATATTTGACCATTAAAACTCCTGAGAGAGATAGTAAGAAAACTAAAAATGAGATGCATGGTAAGAATGTAAATGCACTATTGATACTTGCTTTTACAAAAAAATCCATGTCTGACTGGGGTTAAAAATATTTTTGTGTAGGTTTTTCTGGCATGGTTACACTGAAGAGGTGTTAAACTCTTCTGTTCAATAAATTACAGGAATTTGGCTGCTAGCTCATAACATCAGGAAACTTCAAAGAAAGTAGGGGCCAAATCTTCAAGGGAAGTATTTTAACAGCCTGCTAAGCCAGTAACTGTACTCTTGTTACAGTGCTGTTAAAAAATTGTTGATTTCATAGCTTTTAGCAATAGGCAGAGTAGACTGTGTGTCACTAAAAAATATGCATATATTTATAAAGGATAATGATTTAGAGATAGAAACTATGTTGCATAAATCTGCTAGCTTAAAACCTTAATTTAAAAATAAATCTGTAATTATAATGATTCTTATATAGGCAGTCTTAATGATGGACTCTGAAAAGAGAATAAGATTACTTCAATTTGTTACTGGCACATCGCGCGTACCTATGAATGGGTTTGCTGAGCTATATGGTGAGTACTTATGATTATGTCCACAAGTAACAGAGAACATGATGCCAGCATTGCCATGATATTTGACTTCAAACATAGGCACATTAGTTTTCAAATTTTGCTTTAAAAATGAGTATATACTGGCAATTATAAGAAGCAAAGTTAGAAAAGAGTCACTTAGATCACACGTTTCCCATGTTCTATAAATACTTCATTTTAATTCTGTTTTTTAAATGTATAGGACTTCTCAAATGAGTGTGGATTTTAAAGTTCTGAAGAGCTGCAAAACTCCCTGTTTAACATGCGATTGAGCTTGAAGAAAATTCTCAGTTATCTGAGATCTGATTACAAAGACATGCTGGCATCAGCAGTTAACTTCAGATTCTTATAAGTTCCCCAACTGCTTTTATCTGTTCACAAGCCACAGTTTTACAGATAAAATTGTTTGTAAGGGTATACCCTAAAGAGGACCACTGAGATGACGCGAGTTAAACATAATGCCAAAATAAAAGTAGCGAGCCTACAATGCAGAAACTGAAACAAGCAGATGGCAGCGGGGAGCAGACTTTACCAAAGCCAGAAAACCCACTGTGGAAAGACCGCGAGCAAGCGGATAGAACAGCCCACAAAGGGTGGGGGTGTTTTGCTTATGGGAAGTCTGTTTTCAGCTGCCATCAGCTATTATGTTTTCTGCTAGACTACTTTATTAAGGCTAAAAGTGCTTGAGATCCTGTGCAAATGTCTGAATAGCCTAACTTGTGTATTTGAATAAACATTTCCTTCTTTGTAAACAAGACAGTAATTTGTTTATAAAACACTAGAATTGTGAAAAAATACCACCCACCATGTGTCCCCATTTCTCCCTCTCTTCATTTTCATCATAAATACTCTGTTTATTTTTCCTGTTCCATCAGTGAATGAGTTGTGAGTTCCAATGGGAAGAACAGTGCCCTCAGCAGACTTGAGCCATGTGTCTGCCGTTGCACCTGAACCTTGGTTCTGTTGGAATTACAGCACATGCTTGTCACAGTGGAACCTGATCAGAATTCTGCCGCCTCTGGATTTTTGTTTATTTGTCTAAAAACACTACCAGACACAGAACTAAGGAATGATATAGGGA